CACGGACACGGGCGTGGCTGTGTTCTAGTCACGGACACGGGCGTGGCTGTGTTCTAGTCACGGACACGGGCGTGGCTGTGTTCTAGTGGAACTTCATCTGTGGGCGCTAACGTTCGCATTTCTCACAGTTTTCACGTTACGAAACATTCTTCTTATTTTTTTCTACCATTGAAAAATGTAAAGATCATTCTTAGCTCAGAGGCAGTGCAAAAGTAGGTAGCCGGCTACATTTGGCCCACAGGCCATTGTTTTCTGACCCCTGAAATAGTACGATTCCCCACACCATCACCCAGTTTCAACAAAAATCAACTCATGATGGATCTTGTTTGATCTACTCCCCTATCCCTTCTCCCTCCTCCTGGCTTCTTGGAAGCAAACTCTAATCAACAAATTACTTCATCCATATTCATATTTCAGTATTTATGTCTAAAAGAGGACTCTAATTTTAAACATAAAACTACAATATTATCACATCTAAAAATATTAACAGTAACTCTTAATATCATAAAATATCCAACAAGTATTCAGTTTTTCCAACTGTCTCATAAATGTTTATTACTACAGGTTATAGGGTTTTTCTCTCCCTTAAGTTTATTTGAATCAGGATCTAAATAAGATCCATATATTGCAAATGCTTGATAGGTCTCCTAAATCTTTTTTAATCTATGGTTTCCCTTTCTATCTCTATTTTGTTTATCTTTGCAAATTACTTGTTGAAGAAATTGTGTTTGGTTCTGCAGAGTTTCCTGGAGTCTGCATTTTGCTGGTGGCACCCCAGTGTGGTTGTTGGACATATTGCTTTGTTCTCCATATTTTCTACAATACAAGGGTGTTTGCTGCCAACTGGAAGTTAGAGCTAAAGGCTTGATGAGACTCAAGTTTTCTTTTGTTTTTGGTTTGTTTTTTGGTAAGATTACTCTATGGGTTGTGTTGTGTTCTCCATCGGGAGGGATGTTAACACGTGCTTGTTTCTCTTTTTGTATGCTAGCAGCCATTGATAATTATTGCCTAGATCAATTTTTTTTTAAAATAAATAGACTTAATTTTTTTGAGATCAGTTTTAGATTTACAGAAAAATTGAGCCGATAGTACACAGAGTTCCCATAACCCCCTCTTGCTCCCCAGAGTTTCCCTTATTATTAACATCT